ATTGGCCCCTATTATGAGTTGCATTCGATTTTCGACTGTGGTCGAAAGTGCTGAGCGAACGAATTTTCATTTGGTATTATGGCGCTCATTCGATGAAGAATTGTGCTATTGTGAATTTCGCTCGTTTAGGTTGTTCACAATAGTATATTTTTCACCGCTGAGAAGCTTTGTTTACAAATCGAGCAAACTAAATAGTTATCTCAGCTGCCGACTCAAAAACGCTCTATCTCAGCCCATTCTCAATGTATTTTCAGCTGAGATATTCCGTTTTTGAACCGAATTATGAGATAGGGCGTTCATCAACCGAATTCTGAAAAAATTATGAAATAGGGTGTTCTTCAACCAAATTCTGCAGTAGGGCGTTCTTAAAAAGTTTTCTGAGATAGGGCGTTTTCGAGCTGGATGCCAAGACAGGTCGACCCATGATACAAAAATAGAAGGTAGTTTCATTTATTGACATTTTTAAACCTAAACGAGTAACCGTTATCCGTGGAAGAGGGAGGAGGTCGAGCTAAAATGATGCCCTGCAACTTGTAACAGTGCCAATTTTTGGGTCCTCGGAATTTTCTGATAAAGATGTGGCGCTGATAAAAAATATATGTAGATATTTTATTATAAGCACGAAACTATGTATTTGTGACAAGATATTGTTTACATAAGATGAAAACTACTGCAGTTTCATTTTGTAAAATTTTTGTTTATAGACTGCATGAGTAAGATAGTTCGGGTACGGTTCGGTTATTTGTGCAATGCTTTTGGGTTATCGTGTACAAACGCGTGATCCGAATCAAAAAATTTTAACATATTCGTCCAGCCAAAGAATTAAGCTTTAATTTAAAACAAAGATGTAATCTAGTTTTAAGGTCAAACATTGTAAAAATAACTTATGGTTGTGTGTTTGGCTTAATTAATTAAATAAATAACGAAATAAATAAATTTCGGTTTGAAATATGCACTTTTTTTCTAAATTTGGAGGTGGATTTCGCGCAAAAATACCGTGGATGGCGTAACTGGAGTTGGACTGATGAGGCTATTTTTTCTAGCGCGGCCGAAGGCCACCAAAAATACTGTTGATGGCCTAACACGAGCTTATTTTTCTTTGCAAAAATGTTAATTTCTCCCCATTTGGAAATGGCCCCCAAGTTCCGGTAGAAGGGGCAGGGAGGAAAAGGATGGCTTTTCTTAAATTTTATACTATGCTCTTTTTAATGAGTGTAGTTTAAGGTGACACACCCCTTCTCCCTCCGCTCCCCACCATAACATCATTGTACAAATAACCTAAATATTCCCCATGTACAACATTAAATCCTCCAATGTATTGTTTGATTGCTATAAATGTGGCAAGGCAGCTCACAAGTTTGCACAATTTATGAAATTTCAAAAACTTATTTTTTGTCAAAAATTTTGAAATGAAACTACCTTCTTTTTGTATCATGGGTCGACCTTCCACTCACCTGACGATATATTTTGAATGAAAATTCTTAAAAATAAATAAATAGACTTATGTAAGTGGCAAACAATAGCATTTTGAATTTTGTTGCAAATGATATGTCCGATACTGTACGTATATCAAATTAAAGAAAATCAAATTTGCTATGAAATGGCAACAACNATAAATAAATAGACTTATGTAAGTGGCAAACAATAGCATTTTGAATTTTGGTGCAAATGATATGTCCGATACTGTACGTATATCAAATTAAAGAAAATCAAATTTGCTATGAAATGGCAACAACATTTCTAAAATTTATGCATGGGAATTGGAGAAATTTTTGTTTAAAAAAAGCTTTTTTTGAACTTTGACTTTTGATAACTCTTATAGTTGTTGTTTCCGCAAAAAAAACGAAGTATACCGTTATGTTCAGCTCAATCGGCCCCATATTTTTTTTTATTTATTCTGCATTTGTTTNCATTTCTAAAATTTATGCATGGGAATTGGAGAAATTTTTGTTTAAAAAAAGCTTTTTTTGAACTTTGACTTTTGATAACTCTTATAGTTGTTGTTTCCGCAAAAAAAACGAAGTATACCGTTATGTTCAGCTCAATCGGCCCCATATTTTTTTTATTTATTCTGCATTTGTTCCCAGTTTTGTATCCTAGTTTTTTGCAGATCATCCAAGACGCTTTTGCAACAGCCTTCAAACTCTTTGTTCTTTGTTCTATGCAATATTCAAAAAGTCAGCAGATCCCTGTTTTTATGACTGGAATATTTAGCTACGAGCAAATGGATAATAGTAAAACCATGATACAAAAAAGAAGGTAGTTTCAATAAACAACTTTTTGATTAAAAAGCAGATTTTTGACAATTGCACCATTGTGAAAAATTCTAAGCGGCGTTACCCAATTGCAAGTTTTTTGGTGTGGGAGATTTTATATCCTAAGTTTGGGATTATAAATAAAATAGTTGTGTTAATATTTACCTTTTAAAAATAATTAATATCTTATCTTAAAAACGTTTTAATTTTACATTAAATTCGATAACAACTTGCCAAATCATTATTTTAATATTAATACAATTAGTGAACATATTTTAAAATTTTTTTAGTGTCCTCATGTCATCTGATTATTTCACAATGTAGTTTTCTATATCTGATACGATGATTCTGATATAATTCAGACACTGAAATTATACATTTCGATGTGTTATTTAATACATATTGTCTTTGTCCATTTAACAGCAAATTTTTCCAGCAACACATATTATTTTCAGATGAAATTATGACACACCCAAAAGTGAAGAATAAAATAAATAGATAAAAACTAATTTCCAATCAAACTGATTTGTGTAGTTCAGGGGCTTCTTTTGGTAAATGTTCTGGAGGCTGTTTTAATATATCCTATCTTATTATATATGTATTTCTTAGCTTTTCTATTTTCTGAGAAGTTGAGAGAATGAAGTCTAATGTTCTTTAATGTTTAATGTTTTTTTTGTGTATCCCTAGAACCATGTTAAGCTAAACCTTGAGGTCTTGCCAAGACCGACAGGCATAAGCTGAAATTGCGTCGCAAGTTTTACGATCGGCTTGGGTAAGGTTTAACCACTTAACCCGCCGCGACTGAGTTCTATAAACTGTCAGTTTTCACACAATTTAAAATGTACGTGTATTTAAAAATATCATGAAAATTGTGTTGCTAGCTTCATTTCGCAAAAATGTTGCAAGCTTTTTCACAGCGTGAACAGAATACTACTTTGCTGAGGAAATGTTGTGGAATTTCACACTTTTTCACGTGAAATAGGAATAAAATACTATGCTTAAGAACAAAGATTTTTAAATCGACAAAAAATTAATAAGAAAATTTGAAGGAATTTAGATATTGGGTATGGTAGCACGAAATGTCACAATCTGCTTAATTGTCAGGTTAACAACGGCGACANTTGAAGGAATTTAGATATTGGGTATGGTAGCACGAAATGTCACAATCTGCCTAATTGTCAGGTTAACAACGGCGACAATGGTNACTTTTTCACGTGAAATAGGAATAAAATACTATGCTTAAGAACAAAGATTTTTAAATCGACAAAAAATTAATAAGAAAATTTGAAGGAATTTAGATATTGGGTATGGTAGCACGAAATGTCACAATCTGCTTAATTGTCAGGTTAACAACGGCGACAATGGCGACGAAAAAGTGACAATGGAACTACCTTGTTTTTTGTATCATGAGTAAAACAATTATTTATGTGGTTTCTGTTATAGGCCTAAGTACACATCGTCACCTGAGTGGAAGGTCGACCTATCTTGGCCGACAGTTCGAAAACGCCCTGTCTCAGAAAACTTTTCAAGAACGCCCTACTTCAGAATTTGATTGAAGAATGTCCCATTTCAGAATTTGATTGAAAAACGCCCTTTCTCAGAATTCGGTTGAAGAACACATTATCTCAGCTGCCGACTCAAAAACGCTCTATCTCAGCCCATTCTCAATGTATTTTCTGCTGAGATATTCCGTTTTTGAACCGAATTATGAGATAGGGCGTTCATCAACCGAATTCTGAGATAGGATGTTTAAAAAAAAATTATGAAATAGGGTGGGTGTTCTTCTATCAAATTCTGCAGTAGGGTGTTCTTAAAAAGTTTTCTGAGATAGGGCGTTTTCGAGCTGGATGCCAAGACAGGTCGACCTTCCACTTAGGTGACGATATATTTTGAATGAAAATTCTTAAAAATAAATAAATAGACTTATGTAAGTGGCAAACAATAGCATTTTGAATTTTGTTGCAAATGATATGTCCGATACTGTACGTATATCAAATTAAAGAAAATGAGATTTGCTATGAAATGGCACCAAAATTTTTAAAATTTATGCATGGAAATTAGAGACATTTTTGTTTAAAAAATGCTTTTTTTGAACTTTGACTTTTGATAACTCTTATAGTTGTTGTTTCCGCAAAAAAAAAGTATACCGTTATGTTCAGCTCAATGATCTCTATCGGCCCCCATATTTTTTTATTTGAGAATTGGAGCTATTCTGCATTTGTTCCCAGTTTTGTATCCTAGTTTTTTGCAGATCATCCAAAACGCTTGTGCAACAGCCTTCAAACTCTTTGTTCTTTGTTCTATGCAATATTCAAAAAGTCAGCAGATCCTTCGTTTATTTTTATGAATGAAATATTTGGCTACGAGCAAATGGATAATAGTATGAGGCAGTTGATGAATAATTGCAATCAAATACTATTAGGTGTGTCTGTGGGTTTTATACATAAAAATTGTACCATTAACTTTATGAACTGTTTCAGGTGAAGCTACAGAAAGCACCAGATTTATGTGCCTGAAATTGCTGCTGGTAATTGTGACAGGTACTGACAATGTTAGTCAAAATGTCCTGTTGGAGTACCTTACAATGCACACTCTTTTCGATGCCTTCGTTCATTTACTTAGCGATCCTTCGCTACGGGCACAACACGGACATGATATTGTTATTCTACTGACTATTTTGGTGAATTATAGAAAGCATGAAACGACCAACCCATATGTGGTTCAGTTATCTATATTGGCAGATGATATGGCGCTCAATGGGTATAATTAACGTTTTATTAATTAAAATAAGAGTGTACATATGTATAGGGGTAGGGAAATATAACAAAATGTGTGTCATATGTAAAATGCCGTGAAATTAAATATCACATTTGATACTTTAATGAATTATTTGTTACTATTCGTATTAATTAGGAAGATTAATTAAATTATTTTTCATTGTTTTGTTGCAGTTATGGGCAGATGATATCACAATCTTTGATTGACTTTTGTCGGCAATACATGCAAAGCTTATCGAATGTTCAGTCTTCATCTTGGTTTTCCTCATTATCAAACATTGTTGGAAATATGTTTGTTTCAGACGAAGGATGTGAACGTGTGCAGCAAATCAAAGCCAACAATGGACTTTTATTAGCCCTATATGAAGCTGTCCACCTTAATCGGAACTTTATTACTACACTAGCTCACACCCAAGCCGAGTCGAGTGCTCCTCCATCGCCTAGTAATACTTTAAGTCTGACACAACCATTACCTGATTTGGCAAGTACTCCTATAATTGATATGACACAGTATCCGACTAATTTGCTGGTAGCGGTTTTTCAATATTGGTATGTGAACAAAAATAGAATCTATGAGAATGTTTATTTTCAGTAAATAGCGTTTCTATGTATATTACAGTTCCATTGTTATGCAGGATAATAAAAATGAATTCAGTGTAGCGAATCTGAAACTGTGTTTTCTTATATTAACGTGCATTTCAGAGGATCAGTATGCGAATTCAATGATGCATGATATCAATCTGACATTCAAAGTTATGTTACATCGTGTCCAAATGCGCCATCGAAAGCTACATGTTGATCGTGTTGGAAAATCACAACCACTAGCGGCTACTTTGCTCGATTTACTTGTAGAGTTTATAGTTTCACATTTAATGAAAAAGTTCCCCATGGAGTTGTATTTACTTTGTGTTGGTATCATTCATCGTGTGTTGTGCTATCAAAAGCGATGCAGAGTTCGCTTAAATTATCCATGGAAAGAGTTGTGGTCAGCTTTAATCGGTTTACTTCGGTTTCTCGTAAACCAGGAGCAAACGTTGGTGAAGAAATGTAATATATTTTATTTATCACTCCAGGTAAATAATGATTCTTTTAAGTCGAAATCTTTATATACTCTTTTAGTTCTTTGAATAGGTGGTAAATATTTTTAACTTATTTATAACATATGGAGATACATTTTTGGCCACAACAAACAGCTATGATGAATTATACTACGAGTTAAATAGAGAAGAGAAAGTGTTTTCAGAAATACACGCAATGGGTAAGGAAATGCTAAATTAGAATAAGTTTTAAATTATATTCACGTTATCTAGTTTTCGTGCTCTTTTTTTAACCGACATCACAAAAAGGAGAAAGGTTATCGATTCGTCGGAATAATATTTTTTTTTGGACCACGTTAACCGATTTCTAGAATTCGAGAATTTTTTTAAAGGAAAGGTGTTATCTCTTAAATTTTTATATGAAAACTAGTAAGCCCGGACATACGTTGTCCTGCCACACACCGATACATAGGCAGGTTACTTGCATCGTAGATATCTTTACACCGAAGCTTGGTACGCGAGCTCGGTGTGAAGTCCCATATTGTTTCTTACGTTTCATTTGCTATCGAAATTCACAAAAGATTGTTATTATTGTTCTCGTTTGAAAAAAAAAACATCTCTGGTTACGGTTCAAACATCAGCCAGAGGAATGGATAACATTGGATGGTGTCCAAACGGTAAATTTTTTGTTGCTGCTGATGTGCGCATGTTTATATGTATAAATATTTTGTTGCTGTCCTACCTATTTCTCCCCAACATAAACATACATATGAAGCGCAGCCGCGAAAACCCTTGGAAAGCTCCCGCTTCGGAGATAGGCAGTTTGTGGTTAGCGTAAGCGAACGTATAGACACGGGATTTTTAAGAACGTTGCGAGAAGCAAAGAAAAAATTTCGATGAAAAAAAAAATTATTTTGGGTTCGAAACTGTCCTGACTTTTAAGTTGGAGCCAACAATACACACCCACAAAATTTTATTGAATTAGATTAAGCGGTTTCGAAGATTAGCGTAAACGAACACAGTGACACGGGATTTTTATATATTAAGATTGAAGTAAGTTTTTTTATTTGCTTAAAAATTACTTGTTTAAATTTAACATCCAAATCATCGCACCGTTTCAAGTAAAAACACTATCAGCTGATTGCCAAAAAATGACTACAGCTGAGATCACCTGTTTTTTGGCATGTGCTCTTATCTTTTACAATTTCTTACATTTCTATTACAATTTATTCAAAATACACGTAACACACTGAACCAAGAACACCAATACATTAATCAAAAACACACCTACAGCCTGCCAGAAAACGGTGGCAGAAGAGTTACTTTACTTATGGAACTGTATGATGATCAAAATCTTATAATTTTTTCGTTGAACAATTTTCTTTGAACTCAACTCAGTTTTGATGATATAAAAATGTGACATATGTACGTATACTAATGGCCCTATTTTGTATGGAAACTGATAGCCGACGGCCAACCACATACAAAATTTCCGCTTATGACGAATTTGTTATTTGTTCACATAATTTGTTAAACACATTGAAGCAAATTTGGCAATTACTTCGAAATGTACATTCCAAAAAAGTAAATTCGGATGTCTGCGTTTTTCTATGTACTGAGATTAATCGCTACACATAATACAAAGTACGATACTGGTAGCCACGGCTAATAGACCAGCAACTAGATACCAGTTGCCATACATAATAAGGCCATAAACTTCGCATTACGTTTGGGCACTCGCTACTGACTGTCGGTTACTGAGGCTACATAGTACCGCAATTTCTTGTTTCCCGCTGATGACGATTTTGGTATTTGTTAACATAAATTGTCAAACACATTGGATCAAAACTGCCAGTTATTTCGAAATGTACATGCATGTTAAAAAAGAAAATTCGGATGTTGTCTGCATAATATGGCCATTAATTTAATTGTCTAATTACGTGATTCAAATCTTCGAAGGAAGCAACCTCGTAACTGATATTTATGCTAAATAGGTATTTACTCCCCGGAAGCTCCTGACATCAAGCTCTTTTCAATTCATACTAAAATATCGATATCTATATATATATAAAAGAAATGTCTTTTATGGCTTCCCCACGGCACCCCAATTACGTAGTTCGCTCTCTCATTCGTAATTCGCACTCCAATTACCCTTTGAATTACGTAATTCGCCATACAAATTTTTGAGAGCGAATTGCCTCATTTGTTGGTAAATCAGATCTAATTACCATGCCAATTACGAACAAATCGGTGCCGTCACTGATTTATATCGGAAATTTATCGAAACTAGCTCACAAATTAAAACTTGCATTTTTTCTGAGTACGTATGTAAAGTAAAGTTTTTAGATATCCCTAATTTAATACGGAGACTTATACATTTTTAGAAAGAACCTACATTTTGCATTAATTTGGCAGCGAAGAAAAACAAATAAAACACACAGGGACACCGAACTGTCAAATCGAATTAAGAATGTGCCCGTGGGAATGGGGTGATTCGCGATCGTAATTGGGGGAGCGAACAAAGTAATTCAGGATGCCGTGGGAAATGGCATTTGGCATGTAAAGTCCGACATGTAGTGTTCATATTTGGAACGTATGTCAGCACCTTAGAAAGAAATATTCAGACTAAAAATTTAACCGCTAGGTGCTGCTGGGGTCTTGATATTCCTAAAAACTGCATTTAGTTGCAGATTTGGCTCATATTTAGAACATATGTATGTATGTTAGCCAATTGAAAAATAATATTTGGACTAAAAAATTACACGATAGGAGGCGTTGGGGTCGGGATATTCCTAGCACTTATACACTGGGAGAATGGTATATGTATACATATAGAAATTAAATGACTTTCTTATGACCACTATGGCTGACTTAATGGACAAACTGAACTGCTCATATCGCTTATCTTTGGAACCGGTTATGCTAACGTCCTAAAATTTAACACAGATACATATGTTATCAATAATGTATTTATGGCGAAAAGTAGCAGGAATTTAAAAAAGGGGCCGTGGCACCTCCCATATAAATGTAACTCTCATATCGCTTTTCTCTGGTGGCGCTTATGCTAACGTCCTCAAGTTTGACGCAGCTACTTATGTTATCAATAATGTACTTATGGGCAAAAGTAGTAGGTATTGGAAAAGGGGGCGTGGTACCTCCCATTAAAAATGAGCTTCTCATATCGCTTATCTTTGGAAGTGCTAAGGATACCGTACTTATGGCTAAAAGTTGCAGATATTGGAAAAGGGCGTGGCACCTCCCATGCAAACTGAACTTCTCATATTGTTTATTTCTGGAACCGCTTACGATAACGTCCTGAAATTTTACACAGCTGCATATGTTATCAATAACGTACTTATTGCGCAAAGTGGTATTTATTGGAAAGGGGGATGTGGATTTGATACAGATGCATCTACATACGTTATACAATGTAAAAAAAAAATAAAAATTCTGTAATGCGACCGTAATCTGACTCAGATTATAGTATTTGGTATAGTAATGATCCTCCATGAATATCGCCTGTCTAGGAGGTCGCGCATCGAGTGTTTGTTTTTCCCATTGGAATAACACGTAAGAAAACGAGCTCTACTCTTTTGAGAATAATATAATATTCTATGATCAATCAAAACGTCCAAAACTGTAAGAATGTTTTGATTATACGCCATTCAAGTGTTATACAGGTTCAGATTCCTTAAATTCCAAAATTATTGTTTTGTAATTACTAGATTTGACCCAAACAGGATAAGCGATGTAAGGGCATGTAATCAATGTTTTCTTATATTTTCGAGCGTTTTGATTGATCCTAGTAAATTTTATTGGCCTCAAAAAGGTAGAACTTATTTTCTATATCGATACATACATACATGGTCGTATTATGGACTACTAGAAAACTCACTAGGTGGCGCTGGAGTAGAGTTATTTAGAAAGTCGTATTTATGAACCGATTTCGTTCACATTCGTAATGTGAGCCACCTGCATGCAAGACAAATGCCTTTTCGAATAATGGTCCCATTAGGTGGTGCTGGAGCCGAGTTATTTAGAAAATCCGTATTTTTATACAATCTGGTTGAAATTAATAATGCGTATTAATTTCATGGTAAGGAATTCTTTTGCAGAAAATAGACCCAATGGATGGCGCTGCAGCCGAAAAATATAGAAACCCCTTGTGCTGGTTCTGATTTGGCCTTATGCTTATATTAAAAGAATTTACTTTTCTGATGGCTAAAAAAAGTACGGGGTTAAGTATGCATAGAAATACTGAAAATTGAGTAAACGCACCTTGATAAAATTGCTCTGGGCGGGCGGCCGTTATTGCTGCAGGTTTGTAGAACTTAAAGTAATTATGCACTCGGATGCCTAAATATTAAGACGAATTTTAAAAGTGGCAAATTAGTAAGGAGAGATTCGACCACATTCATTTGAACGATATTCAAGAGATCACATGACTCATTTAGCCAATGTTCGGAAAAACTTTTCATCCTGTGAAGCATCGATGATTCTTGGCCCTGCTGTGACAGAAAACTTATAAAAACTTTAATTGGCTTACATAACGCATCGGACCAATGTGTAGTTGCAAGATCATTGACGAAGATTTCNGAAAACTTATAAAAACTTTAATTGGCTTACATAACGCATCGGACCAATGTTGTAGTTGCAAGATCATTGACGAAGATTTCGCACATTTTATTTAACAAACCATTTTGGCTTTCAACGCTATTTTGGCATCGGCCAACGCAAAAGTTCTTATCAGGCGCCGCGAAGCAAGCTAGTTTATATATAAAAAGAAGAGATTATTAGAGATAAAAGAGATAACCGTTTTGAAATAATAGAGGTTTTTACTCTCTACAGTAAAATTTGGGAAACCTTACATACGAGGTTTTGCATTATCTTGATACGCGGTTTTAATTTTATATTAGGGTGATTCAAAATTGGAACTTTTTTGAATTTCGACTGAGAACGGATTCTTGAAGATAATAGGGAAGACAAGTTCATTCTAAAATTTCAGCTTATTTTATTAAGATTTAGAGGTCGCTCAACGCTGTTGTTTGTTTTCCGGAAACTGCAGATTTTAAATGCATCTTTATTAAAAAAATAGGTATATTTTCATCAAATCTTGTCCGATTTCGTTGAAATTTCGTAAGTAGGTTCCCAAATATCGGTTTATTAGAACACAGTTTATATAAGTTCAATAAAATAGTTTTAAATACATTTATTAATTAGT